CTGATTGGATGACCACCAACTTGACTTCTGTAACGGTCGAACGATCTTCCAACGGATTTCGACCTCGCGATACGGTTCGAGGATCAAACGCTCGTTATGACCTTCGTGCGAACAAGAAACAAAAGATATCCACGTCTTGCTATTACTCCTATTACTATTACTACTAATAACAGAATCGAAATCATTTGAAATTCTTTCGAATCTTATACGCTTTGTATATCCTTCTTCCACTATGTTTGCCAGCAATAACGATAAAAAATAGATCTAATTACTAATCTCTAATTATTACTTCAAACAAAAATTTCCATGACATAGTTGTAACGTGAATGCTGTTGATCTTCCTCGTTCACCACCTTTATCTCTTTTTCTTTCTCTTTTGCGCGCGCAAAGGTTTAACCTTTCGGCTAAACTCAGCCACGAGGCAGAAATGTCAGAAAAAAGGTTACCCGTGTGGCACCACGGGCGTGTTTGCCTGTTCTTTGGCGCTCGATTATGCTCGCTGTGCCATTGCTGTTTCAACCGCACGGATCGAGCAATTGAACGCGTGAGAATTCGTCGACTATTCGGTTTCGTTCGATGATATGTATATCCGTGTCTATCTATAGTTAGAGAATACGGTAATGTAACGCTTGTACGTTCAAATCTTCGTTTCAATAAAGTTTCTACCGTTTCGTCAATTTATTTTTTATTCGATAATATTTCTGATTAATACTGGAAAAACTCGTCGTCGAGTCTCTTCGCTACTCGTAACGGATGATACCGCGCAAGAAAAAAAGCTATATCTACATCGTATTATCGCGACATCATTCTTCTTATTTTATCAAGAGAGTACTTAGAATCTTCGAATACTTATTCTTTTATTACATAAAAGAAATTAGATTGAATTTCGTTATCACATTTTTTCTTTGTTGAAATGTTTCTTCAAAATGCTTTCTAAACGCTTCTCGTCAACAACAAATTCGGAATCGTGCCGCCTGTCTACCAGTAAACGCATAGAAATAAACGAAGTCAGACGAAATAATATTCGATATACTCGATATATATTTTTCATATTATGATGAACGACGCGATAAATATGTTATCAGAATGTGTATTTGAATAACATTTTTATCGATACACAATAGCGAATGTTCAATAATCTCACGAATCAAATGTAAATTATTTTATATATATATTAAATTATATTTATTGGTATTTGAAGCGATTTTGATTATGATCAAACATTCGTAACGTTCAACAACGAATGAAAACGTATTTCGATCGATCGTGAAAAAAAATTTATCGCGTGTTTATTCTGTTCGTTTTATTCTACTACGAACTATTCCGTAATTGATAAGCGATTTCGAAACTAAGAATTTTATTTGCAAATCGAGCAACGACGTATCGTGAAATAAAAATTCCCCTTGTTTGAATAAGGAATCGATGAATTATCCACAAAACATGTAGACATCAATATATGTTTATCGAACTTAGTTACAGTTATCGGTTTTCGATCAATGCGAAAGCATACATACATTTTTCCATACATTTTTTTATATTTTTTACATTTTTTTATCTATCAGAAAAATAAAATACCAATCTTATAAAAAATCATAATATTTCTTTTTTCGTGCTGTAATATCTAATAACATAATTACAAAAAATTTTATATATTTTATATATAATTTTAAAAATCGAAACGAGATGTTACCTATCATTTATATTTAAATTTTCCACGTTTTAATTAAAAAAAATATAATAAATGTACTTGTAGTCAATTATCTTATATTATTTTTTATAAAATATATAATTGTACCATTGATATTATTATGTATACGGTGATACGATTATAATATCGTATATCAAATAATGACGATCCTCCTCCCTTTTCCTCCTCCTTCCCCCACTTGTAGCGAATAGAAGATTTATCCCATCCATTTTTCATTTGCGCGAAAATTTATTTATTTTCAAATAAATTAATTTTTTGGTGTATATTTGTAAAACGTTCCAACAACTTTTGATCGTTATGCGGCACAACAAAAAAAAGCTATTTATTACTTTCTGAAATAAATTTCAATAAAAAGTCACAAAAATTTTAAAAATTAAAGTTTTCGAATAAAAATTTAAATTAAAAAAAAGAAGATTAATTATCTCTTCGCGTGAGATATGATCGATTCTAGTTTCTGCCGAAAACGGATATTGAAAATAAAAAAATAAAAATAATAAAATCATTAATATGCTTTTTTCGCGTCTGTTTATATTATCCAATCGGCGAACAAGCACTGGACTCTTTTTTTTCGCGAATAATCATTGTAATTAAATTTATCTACAGTTATTGCGCTTTAAATATTATTATCGACACAAACATCTATCGATCGTTGCTTGCATACGGTCACAATTTTCTGAAAGAAAAATTGCATTAGTAACGAAGAATGTATTTGAAATGGAAAATTCTTTTTCATTTTTTTTTTTTCTTCTATTTTTTTCTTCTATTTGTTACGCAATCGTATTTTTCTGAGATTATGAATCGAGAGTTATAAATGATGAAAGAATAAAAAATATAATCTAATATATTTTATAAGATAAAAATATAATTTCTTTATTTAGTATTCTTCTTAATAATTTATGTAATCGATGTATATTATGAATTATTTGACAAATCGATATACATTATCACAATGTAATAAAAAATATTTTCTTTTGATACAAAAATATTATTACCACTTCTATCAATTTACATAAAAAATAATCAAATCTTTAGATAAATATTTAAAATGTATGAAATTAACACCGAAATTGTATTAAAACGAGTTCAAATTTCATTTTAGAATGTAATAACGTTAATAATGGAATAGATTAATTAAAAAAAAAATTGAATAAACTATTCATCGAAGAATTATTAATTACAATAATATTCAATAAATTATTGGATAAATGGATTAATTAAATAATGATATACGAAAAATAAAATAATTATAGAAATAATATATTACGTAATTGATTAATCAAAAGCAAAATTTGAAACAGAACTTCTAAACACCATGATTTTCGACAAAAGAATAACATCGCGATTTCATCTAGTTGGCAGTTTGGAAAAAAAGAATCAAAACACGTCGAAATATGATACGAACGTGAACACTACCAATTTCCTGGAAAGACTATTGTTAGAAATATTTTTCGCCTTGAACAAATATCAAAATAAATACAAAAATATGAATCATAGAAAACGTTTTCAGCCTTGAGCATAAAATCAAAACATAAATACTAATATGAGTTGAACGCACGGATATAAGACACGTATAGGAAAGAAATATGAGAATCGAGTGTGTGTGCGTATATATATATATAAATAAAATTGAATTAAATAATTTGATCTAACAAAATTTTTTTATTTCCATAAGAAATATTATAGTAAAAAGACAAAAGAAATATTATAGTAATTATTATATATCTTTTATTAAAATAAATCTTATTATCACATTACGAGTTATGCACGATCTATCGTATAACATTTTCGAAGCCAATAATTAAATGATAATCTGCACAAATAAAAGTTAGAATAAATGTATTAAATAAAATAATAATTAAATTCAAAAATTTAATTTCAAATGCTGCTTCAAACAATAATAAAAAACTACCGGTAAATAAACTCAAATACGAACAATAAAGAATCACAAAAAAAGTTCAAAACATAATTCAATTTTGACATAATACTGGATTATTATTAATTAGTCACACATATATTAAACAAAAGCACTAATAATCTAGAAATTATACGGCAATATCAAATTCCATATAAATTATAATATATCTACATCCTTGTAACGAATGTTCTATCTACTATTCTTGATGATAGACTGACGTCACTACACACCGATTCGTCTAGAATCCAAGCCTTACCAGCTTTTTGATTGGTTGAAGTAACAATTTCTTATTCACTTCGCAGGAAAATTGAAATATAATATAATACTTATTTAATTATAGATTTTTGTATATCGAAGTTTTACAAAGATAGAATAATTGAGAGTTGAATAAAAAGAAAGAAATTGGACTAGATATTTTTTGCGTTGCATAATTGTGAATTTTAAAAAAAAATCTTTTTAATATAATCTTTTTAATTTCTAATAAAATTTTATTTAACCAAATATTGGAAAACAATGCCTTTCATTATTAGCGACTATACGCAAGATCTTTCTGGAAAGTATTTGATAAAAATAATTTATCGAAATTAGTTTAAAAGATAGATAATAACAAAAATAGAAAAGAAATTTATCATAATTGCATTTTTCTTATTCTATTTTATTATCATTTTTATTTTGTATCTATGATTAAACAATGTCTTCGTAGATATAAATTATACAAATAATTTATCCATATTGTGTAATAGATCAAAAAAATGGAACAAATCTTTTTCGAAAAGATTTGCTTAAAATATTCTTCACACAAAGACACGAAAAATGTTTTTAAATTCTTATAACTTCCATTCTCTTTTTATCTATCAATTGTTTTTAATCGATGAATTGAAAACAGAAAAAATATCTTTATACACGGTTCTCTAGTAAATATAATAAAATAATTTGTCTTTCAAATAGATCATTATTCAGATAAGTATCGAAATGAATAAATGAATAAAATTTTTATTTGCACAATTATTTAATTAGAAGTTTCCTTCGAGAATCTTTTAAATCGGAAAAAATAAAATGGAAAAAAGAAATAAAAAAAGAAAAGAGAATAAGACGTATTGTACAGAAATAATAAATTTTTTTTTTTTTTTTTTTAAAAAAAAAAAAAAAAAGGGAAAAAGGTGTGTTGGAAAAAAAAAAAAATTTTTTTTTTCTGTACAATCCGTCTTTTTCTCTTTTTTTTTTTTTTTTTCTTTTTTTTTTTTCCCTTTTTTTTTTTTTTTTTCTTTTTTTTTTTTCCCTTTTTTTTTTTTTTTTTCTTTTTTTTTTTTCCCTTTTTTTTTTTTTTTTTCTTTTTTTTTTTTCCCTTTTTTTTTTTTTTTTTAAAAAAAAAAAAAAAAATTTTTTTTTTTTTTTTTTTTATTAAAAAAAAAAATTTCTCGCACAAAGAATCACACACGCTGATCACAGTACAACTAACCATGTTTTCCCAATATTTTCGCCTTTTATGCATTTGTTGGTGTCAAGGCTGAACCAATCAGCGTAAGCCATTCCACATCTTCCATCTGATTGGTGCGTTTAAGCTACCAAAATTGCTCGACATTCGAGAACAAGGCCGCAATAAAAAATTCGCTGACGAAGCGAGCAGATGTTAGATCGCTAACCGTCACTTTTTCGTTCTATCGTTTAAAATATTATTTCTAGTCACATTCTCGTTATTCAAATTCATTTAGCAAAATTTTCAACAGAAGATGGATTATTCGCACAATCATCTGTAACAAAAATACGTGTAATACAAGAATACTGTAACACTAGGCTAATTATTAGCAGGTAATTAAAACAGAAATGATGTTTATCTTCTCATTCTATATCATGAGTAAACGAATATACTTTTGTTAGTGTCGGAAAGTTGAGCGCGGCGATGAGGTCCTTGGAGTGTAGCCTTCCACAGACTCGTAATGTTCTCTCTTCGTTCGTGGCGGGACTCGTTTGACGACTTACCAAGAAACGAGGTCAATTGCATACAATCTTGACTAATAATTCTAAGCGGGTTTAGGAACGATAGTAGTAATACCAGTAGCCTATACGCCTTCATTAACCGATTAATATCCAACAAAAAGAAAGTATTGATGTGCTTACGGAATTTCATAATCATATTGGTTCCGAGTCAATGTAAAATTTACACATATAATTTACACGTAATAAACAGATAACTTCATTTGTAATATCGTTCATTTGCTGCAATAACAAGGAGATAATTAAAATTAAAATTTACAATTTTTGAGTAAAAAAGTGTTGATGAAGATAAAGTTATTTTATTATAATCTATTCATTACATATTTAGTGATAATTCTAAAATTAAAAGTTTTCAAATTTGCATTAAGAGTATAGAAGTATTGGAAAAATTTGCATTAAAAATATCAAAGTATCGCAAATGTACGCGTTTATCAATTGAATAGTTTTATGTTGATAGTTTTACATTTAAAACAAAGAAACGACAAAAATAAATAAGACAAGTTTTAAATTTTAAAGCGGTAAATTAAAAGAATTAAATTTATAAAATATAAAATTTATACGACATAAAATTTTTCTTAAGATAAAAAGCATATAACTTAAAGGACAAATTAATGATAAAAAGAGAAAATATATTTAATGAATGAAAATGTCTATCGTCGAATCAATTCAAATATTTCCTAAATAACCCGTTATTAGAATAGATATATAAATATACGTTTAATTTATAATATACGATTAATAATATACTTTTATATATTATTATTTATAATATAATGATTACAGATTTATAATGATTATAGATTTTGATAAGAAAATCTGTTATTTTATAAACTATTCTTAAAAAAATTAATATCTCGATTTATCGAATTAAAAATAAACATTTTTGTCGAAAACTTCATTCCAATATGCAAAGTAACAGAATTCTAGTTTGATGTTGTAACGAATGACCTCGACTTTGCGACTTTGACTTCGTTTCAAGCGAAGCATCGCAGTATTTCGTCGTTGACGAGGAAACAGCTGTGCCAAGAGAGCTCAAGGGAGCTATAAGAACCAAGTGACAGGGGACAGGAATGACAACGACGAGGAAGACAATAGGCACCGAGTCGAGACCGGTGGACACCGGACACGGATTCACGGGAGCGTCTCAAGAAACGGTATATCTTCATGGCGACACTTTATCTTACGAGTAAATGGTTAAATTGCTCGATGTTATTAACCGAGTAATTTACCGTTAGAACCACCGTCTGACAAAATGTTGGAACTGATCGTTTTTTTTTATTCGTGATCTCGATCGAGGCTAATTCCATTCACGAAGAAATATCCTCGCTCGTGTCATCCTGCACCTGGGTAAACACGTGTATCACCTACGTCCTCGATGATGAAGCCTACCATCCATCCATCGTGTCTCGTTCTCATCGAATAGTCCAGTTTCGTTCGTGTTTTTCTTTAATTAGCCTTCTGTTAACATCAATTCACCATGTTGACACTCGATAAGGTTCAAAGCTATTTCGAAATGTTTTGCTTTTCTTTGACTTTCATCGCGGCAATTTTACACATACTTATCCTTAGAATTTCTGAACTCTATCAGTCTATATTCGCGTTTTTAAGATTATCAACGATCTGCGATAAAAAAAATGGCATACTTCTAAATTTGCGATAAAATTGCGATCTTCTTCTTTTCTCCATTTCATATTTCGATGAGGTTTCAAGATTGTTTCAGTTACGAAGTTAATCAGGCGTTCAAGGTTCTAATCGTAAAACATAAAAAACAGAAACGACAAATAATGACATAATTTCCAGATTTTTCTTTTGCGATTGTATTATCTGCGGTATATTGTCCTATTGTATACATGTCGTTTCATTAAAATTTCATCGTGCGTAAATCTGGAAAATCAAGAAAAATCCAATATTAAAATAAAAAAATAATTTTATATATGTATAAAAAAAACTATTCTTATTTATTTTATCTAAATTATTTTTTTGCTTCGATACGACTAATGAAATATTTTACATTTCGAGTAAAAGTATCGAAGTATCGTTGAAAAATTTAAAGAAATATATAAGGAACGTACTTTAAAGAAAAAAGAAAAAAAATAGTTAGATAAAAATGAATATAAACAATATTATCAATATAATCAAGCAATATAAAATTATATATATTTATTGAAGATAAAAAAAAAAAACTTTATTGAAGTTTAATATCCTTGAAATTCCGTTGAAATTCGAATTTTCTCCTTTCAAATTTCAATAGACTTCAAAACAGATCTCAAAAAGCAAAACCTTTTTCGTCAGTCACGTGTTCTTCAAAGAACGACTTTATTATCGTAGCTAGGGTGGCTCCCGATTTCGCAAACGACCAAACGAAAAACACGTTAACTTCCTGTGCATGCTTCCGAAGCTTCACGATTGTTCGTAGCCACGTGCAGCCAAACTGTCGTGCAATAAACGACCAGGATCATAAAGTTTCCGGTCGACCGATCCAACGACGAACGAGCGCATAAACGACCGCGACGTTTCACGACCTCGCGCGACACGGCCGAGGAAATCGTTGACCGTTGCTCTCTGGAAAATTGCCGTGGGTCAGTGACACCAGTGGCCAGGGATAACCGCACGTGTTGCACCTGCGAGAAGACCATTGCCATTAAACCATACAGAGATTATTAGCGAATCTTCTTCGCGTGTAACGTGGGACGCGTTATCACGATCTCGAGTTATTGGGATGTATATAAATAGGATAACAGACGCTCGAATTACTGAAATTAATAACAATAAAGAGAATAAGCGAATCAGAAATTCGAAAATTCGAAGATCCATTATTTCTTATGATTTTCTTTTTATTTTTTAAGAAATTCCAAAGAAATGTAAACCTTAACAGATACAAACCATCGATTTGAATCATATATTTTGAATAGTTTCGCGATCTACTTGGAATTTCACTGTGATATTTTTTGCAAAATTAACATTGTCCAAGGTGAATTCCAAGAAGAATGAATAAGAAGATAATAAATAATTATATTCGAAAATAAATATCGAATATAATACGTTCGATTCAAATAAATTCATAATGGAAGACCAATCGCAATCGATATTAGAAGATAAAGTAAACGCAATGATAATAAATTCTTTTTATTGAAATTCGATGATAGTATATTCCCGTGATATCCTTACGAATATGATACTTCTAAATTATATACTCATTTATGTATGCTCAAAGCGAAATATTATATTAATAGATTATACGGTAATAATTATGAGAATCGAACATTATATTTCATTCGTTCCGCTGCTCACAATAATATAATAAAATATTATATGTGTTGCTAAACACATATTATAATTATGTTACTATGCTTATTGTCAATTTTCCAGAATTTCGGGAAAAAATAATAATGAATTTCGACGAATTTACCTCGAACCGAATCTTTCTGGCAAACAGATGACGATGAAGTCATCTGGCAAACAATTATCTCGAGAAATGAATGGACGGACCATCTTAAAAATAGACAAAGAATAACGAGAATTCTTTATATGAGAAGAAAAACGAGGTAAATAAACACAAAATACGGAAATGTGCGTGGAACGATGAAAAGAGAAGTATAGCATCGAGAAACGAGACGCAGTTATCAGCGAGATCATAAAGATCGACGCAAATCTGATCGACAATATGGTATGACGAATTCTCAACATTACAAGATTATAATAAAACACAGCCGGTGAATTTATTTTCGAAAGCAGATTGACAAATGAAAAGATGCGTACTAAATTAATGGACGAAGGCGATTACGCGTGATTCGCAGTTTGTTTTTCTTTCGAGAGTTGACTGGTTGCCAGGCATCGATTGCCAGTTTAAATCATTGAATGCCCGCGAAACGATCCAGGGTCGAGAGCAGACCGGAATAACGTTCGCTATACTATATACACGACGGTTAAATTAAAGGCATTACCGATGTCCAGAATAGCTAATGACATCACCCAGCAGATGGTTTACCTGGTTACTCATTCGTTTCATCGTTATATTAGCCATTCTCGATTGAATATTTTATGGAATTTTACGGAAGTTTTGAACGCGTTATACGATCGAGAGAATATTTTTCAACTGATCATTCTATTATTCCATTTTATATTTTTTTCTTAAATTGTAAAAGCCATTATAAGTTTATTTTATTTTTACTAAGCTAAACTGATCTTTTTAAGCGTGGTTATACGATTCTTTAAAAATTGTTATGATCATTCTATTATCATCAAATATCATCATCAAAGTTGCTTATATAAAATTATAATAGCTTTATATATTTTTGGATTCGTTTAGATATTAAAATTTTTTTCATTTTTGAATATTTTAATTTTATCGAAATATCGTTACTTTATTTGTTGTCGAAAAAAACGATTCGAAATCTACCGAATGATGAAATTATATAAAGATACGTTATATAACTAGTTGTCAATTTTTTTTATAATTTTTAAATTAAATTAAAAAAAATTTTTAAAAAGTTCAGAATAAATAAAATAATTTAAGAAATACAAAGATATAAATAATATATTAAAATTGTAAAAATCTTCGAATAATAGATTTAACTTTGAAATTAAAATTTTGTTAAAATGTATCATTGCGGTAACTCGAAACTTTTCAAACAAGAATTGCTTTTCGATCGAGAAACCATTTATTTCTTATAAGTGTTTATTAACAATCGATTCCAAAGAATAAACTTTCGCTGCAAAATTCACCGTCCTTTACTATTAATGATAAGAAAAATATCTTTGCCTTTGAAGAGATAGCATTGCCCTCGTTCTCGCAATCTGTCATTCCGCTTGTAAGAACGAGAGCAAAATATAAACGCACTTTCTACCGCGTCGTTTTTTCAGCTGTCCACGGAAGTGCACCGATAATACGTTCCATTGATAAATGGGAACAAGCCTCGCCACTTTGCAATATGTCATGCTTCTTCCACGAGTTTTGTCCTTATGTGTTCCTCTCTTTATATAAATATACATATAAATTTATATAAAATGATGATAATATCACGGCATTTGCAATTTAATCAAAAATATAAGAAAGATCTTATATTCCATGCGTCAAATAGGTGGTATTTCTTCTATACTGGATATTTGGCTCGTATCCAAAAAGCTAAAACGAATATTGAAAAATAATACGAAATTTTTCATACGAAAGAACAAACAATTCGCGAAAAACTCGTACGT